CCGCCGCCTCGGGCAGCAGCGCCAAGGCGATATCGTACAACGCCGCCGTCAAAGCCGCCAAGACGCTCGAGGAAGCCGAGGCGGTCGTCTGCGACGGCCTGGTGCACAAGCTGGCCGCGGTCATGATGATGGAGCTGGAAGACCTCGACGTGACGCGCTCGCTTTCGCACTACCCGCTCGACTCGCTTGTCGCCATCGAGATCCGCAACTTTATCACGCGCGAGTTCGAGGCCACGCTGCAGGTCCTCGAGTTGCTTTCCAGCGGCTCTATTCAGACGCTATCTAAGGCGGTCTGCGTCAAGAGCAAGTTGGTTAACTTCTAGATGGAACATATATATATACAAGGGTGTCTACCTAGGTACCTTAGGTGCCTGGGTACCCAGGTACGCATTTTATTGCAACGATTAGAATGAACAACTTTGGGGAATGGGGGAGCTTAGCGTTTTTCTCTTTCTTTTCTTCTTATTTATTATCATCATCGTCATTATCATTGGCTATTTGTTATTTATTCTTGTCCGGGGTTGTTTGGTAACATGACGTCTAGACCTACTGTATACAAGTTCTTCCCTGAGTTGTCTGGGTTGTTGTTTGGTTGGTTATAACAGGATGGTAATATTTTCTTACATAGGTAGTATAGGTATATCATGGGTAATTCATAGATTGTTATTACATTATACTATTGCTTGCTTCCTTGTGATTTGTCTCGTCGCGATCCCAGCCGATGAAGCTTTTCTCCACGGCTAAGCTCTAGGGTCCCAGTTGGCATCGACCTCCTTCAATAACTCTTCCCCAAGTACATCCCCGAGATTAACAAGTTTGTAGCTCGCTTCATCACTTGTGCCTCCTTCTGGTAGTTGGTTAGCATCGTCGTGGGTAACTACTAACCCGCTGGGGAATGCGTCTCCGAGGGCTGCGCCCACAGCGGCAAGTCCATCGGTGTTAGTTACACCATCTATGCCTTTCTCCGAGTTCTCGTATATTGTGAAAGTTTCGACGAAGTCGTGAGGGGCAGCCCGACGGTACACATTGTACGCACTAACACCCTGCTGGCTGACGAGTATGAAACCTTTGTCCGCCGATGGACCTTCAACCAAGGTTACACCCTCAACGTCTGCGTACATATTGCCGTCGCCAACTTCTCCGATAAGGAACCCTTCGCTAGAGTCATCATCCGGCTCTGCACCATAGCGCCAGAGAGCACGGGGTTCCTCGCCGATGATGATCCATCCATTTGCGTCGTCTGAGACGCATCCCTCGACTTGACCACCAGTTCCGCCAGTAAAATTACGCACCAAAGTAGTTTGCAATGCATCATTAGCCCATGATAGTTCATATTGAAGATACTCGGCCGACTTGGCGTTAACGAACAGATACTGCTTGCCACTTTTACGCGAATGATATACGCAGCTACCGTAGACTTCATAGCCGTCTTTAGTTGGCTGCGAGCCACCGGCTATGGTCTCTAGAGTACCATTGGTCGTGATCTCAAAGAGGCTAAAGTGGTTAGTTAGAGACCGAGACGATTTACAAAGGGACTTACCATAGAGTATTGTCAGCTCGACAAGCAGCATACGCCAAATCAATGGTCCTATTTCCAGCCTGGAAATTGTAAATCACATCGACGTTATCCGGCTCTCCAGCGTCTATGCTCTGTAATAGCTTCCCACTGAGATCGAAAACGCTCAGTCCAGAGCCTTCTTCTGATTTCGTAGTAGTGATAATCCTCGATTCGGCCTTATTAGTGGGCGATATCCATATCGCAGGATCATCTCCGTCGCCGCCGTGAGCATCTGTTTCAGCAACGGGCTGCACTACCTTGAACGCGCAGTACAATCCACCCCATCCATCTTCGCATTGACATATATTCGCCCCAACACATTCGCCATGCGTCGAACAGTCATTACGACATGTGATTTCCGCGCAGTCCTCGCCGTCAAATCCTGCGAAGCATGAGCACGAAAGTGCACCCGCATCGCTAGTGCCGTTTTGACAAAAGCCGTTGAAGCTACATTCAGAGCAGATAGAGCTAGAACTGCTTGCATTCTGGCGAGGATCGTAAGATGTGTTCAGATCTAGACCTAGCCCACTAAATGCTGCTTCCAAGGAACTAACAGCAAACCCTTTCCCAGAGTCACCTTTCGTGGCATAGGTTACTGCGCCAGCTGGGTATTTCTTTGTCGGTGCTTGATAGACGTTTAGGCCCTTAATTTCGATGTCTTCGTCCGTGGTAACATTCATAGAGCCCAACTGCGTGAAGGAAGTATTATAGACCGCTATGACATCGTTCTCAGCAACTAAGATGTAGTCAGAGTTGGGGCCAATGTAAGCAGCAAGCGCCGTAACATCATCCTCGGCCTTTCCTAGAACACTGATTTGCGGCGCCGAAGTTGTCTCCGCAGCCGGAAAAGTGTAAATCTCAGGGCCGTCATCTGTCGCGAAATATACGGCCTCCGCAGATAAAGAGACAGCGCACGACGTTGCCTCAATTGGGTTTTCGAAGGTTTGGATCTCGACAATCTCGTAAGTTCCATTATTCTCCCTCAAAAGATGCTGCACGGTTTGCTTCTTGCCAAACAAGTAGAGATACTGTTCTCCACTGCTTTGGCTCTTCCAAGAGCAGAGAGCTGACCAGTCTCCTAAGGTACGTGCCAGAGGCTCACCAACTTGCTCGGTGGTGCTTGCATCGTAAAGTCGAAAGAAGGAATCAGGTTGAGCGATGGTAACGACGAGGTTCTTCGCGCCAACCCCGTGAACGGCTGTCACAAGCTTCGTTCGACCAGGAGTCTTGTGGGCCGTTTCTGTTAACGGGGTTTCGCCATCCAAATCGAAGAGGCGAACACCACCAGTACTAGCACCACCATCATTGCCAACAAGGAGGGGCTGTGAGTCGTCGTAGAATACGCCTACTGAGTCCGACTCGACCTCGCCCGATCTTGCTGAAATCGGCAAATCAACTTCTAATACAGCTGCTGTGGTCGCGCTCGCAGCTAACGAAGTAGCAAGAAAATAATAGGATTTCATGCTGGAGGAATTGGACTTGTCGTTCTCGCTGAGAGGAATACCAGCCAAGAACCTGAAGAGAGGCCATCGTCGGCTTGTCCTCTTTAATAGAGTCGAAGATCCATCTGAAGTCGTTACCTTCCAGGGGCTCATCGGAGCCCATCCCTGTGTAGATCATAGTCGAAACAAACCCGTGCAATCATGCAACAATGCCGTTGGCTCAAAATCCCCACGCCAAGCAGTCAAAAGATCCTCACCTTCCAAATTGGCCATGTTCGTGAAATATTTGCTCATCTACTTGTCGGCATTTGAGAGCTTACAAGTGAGAAATTGTCATTAAATCACCAAAACATCTCGTTGCGATTTTATTCCCCAATTCCTCAAAGTTCCCTTTGAAAATATATGAGACTACGGAGAGAGCAAAAAGGGGCAAAGCAAGCCCCCCTATGAGCGATACCGCTTAAAATGTTGGCGAATCATAACAACGATGAGAGTGGGGGTACGAGGATCGTCGGCAGAAAGCATTGAGAAGATTCTTAGATTGGTAGCTCATTTCCGCAAGTCTGTAACTGGAGCTATTGATATACGTAATGAAATGTTAGTAGATGTAGGTATATGTCGGTATTTATGAGAATTCAAGAACGACGATGGATGAGTCTTTCAAAAATGAATAAAAATGAATCTGATAAGTCCATCCAAAGTCGATAAGGATCACTACCAATTACTAGCAGGATTTGGTACAGATATAATCAATGCCACGAGGTAGCATCCATTTGGAACGTGCGAATATGGATGGACAGCCTCATTGGCTACCTGGTCCCTGGTATCGGATCCGAAGAGTGCGTACGAGTTTTATGGAATTCTACCTCATCACCACGACGCACTTCGTACCAGTCTTTTTCTCGTGGTCCTCTCACGTTCCTCACCTTATAACTTCCGAAGAATCAGATGAACCTGGAGGTATTTCGCGAGATAGCGCGGCGCTGGTGTGTATCGGGAACCAAATATATATCCTTATCTCGTGAATGGGACAATCATGATTGGTGGTACCAGGGGCGTAGCCATCTCAAATTGGAAACGACGTGTCACCTCGAGATAAGATATCTATACAGCTGATATATGTGGTCTGGAAGTGTGTGTGAAACAGGTCTTTACCGCAGCTACGGGATACCCGATGTGCGCCTGTCTGGGCTCGGTGTAGGGCATCTAGAGCTGCGTGGAACTTCGAGAAAACGCCTAAATGACAACATAGCTCTGAAAAGTCGGGCGATCAAGGTAAAGCAAGGTAAAACAAGCCTTACGTGCAACGCTCCGTCAAATCAAGCAGTCAGTAGACAAAAAGCGAGGTTGTTGATTCGCTACGATAAGGGCGTAGGATGGTGCGTTCAGCCACGACGCCCAGCGATCTTTCAATTAAAATGAATGGTTTTCCAGCTAGGTATTTGACTGGCTGTTGGTGCTTATTATGGCTGGAGGCTGATGGGTCGTACCGCATCGTAGGAGTGTCGTGTGCTCAGTGGTTGGTGTTGTACATCATGGAGTTTTGATGCTTGTGGTATCACAGCTGACTCCGGTACGACGTGTAGGTACCTAATGTATCCCGAGCATTTTCGATTTGCAGATATAGACTCATATATCGTGTATCTACCCTTATTGTATACCTATTGTAGGTATTAGGTAGGTAGGTAGGTAGGTAGACTGGTACCTATTAATACCCAAGACAGACAGGTTTGATCGTTAGGATGTTTGGTGTTTAAGTCAAAGGACGCGGGTTGCACAACTCCCTGGTCAGCTCGGAAGCTTGACGTCTAAGTTGCATAATGAGCTGTAAGTCTTGTCGACGATCTCGTAACCATGTGTATCAGATATCGCACTGTCTCTCGTTTACCATCCAGTCTAAGACATTTCGGAGGCGTGTCCTCCAATAAATCAAACAAATACCATCTCATAATTCAGCCGTCCTCGAATAAGCAAGACAATGCTGCGCCCCAGGCTTTCTTCGTAAACCTCGTCTTCGGACCTTGTGTGGTTGTAATTTGTTAAATGTTCTATTCAGCTAAATAAATTCACTTAAGTACCTACCTCCTACCTATCCTAGGTATAAAGGTACCTACCCAAAGCTAGAGTTCAGGAAGCAGCGATTGCCCATCTTCCCACCGAATCAGGAGATGTGACTTCCTCGCTTCTGCCTTGTCTAATGCTCCTTCCAGAGTCAGCTACAAGCAGTTGTTACACATGGCACTGACAAGGGGCGTCGCAACCTAGAATTATTAAGTAGCAACGCGCGCACCTTCTATCTCTATTTGAACTCCTTCCAGAAGAAGGTCTTCTCCATTTTCTACCTCTCTCAGGTTCTTATCTTCAACCTTGATTACAGTCATCATTCTTGTGTCGCAGCGCGTCGCAATAATTAATGGCGGGCGACGACTCTCCCAGTCCTTCTGCTGCCTACGATGGCAGCGGGGACCTTCACGATAAGAATCCTTCGTTCGTTGGTGACCCTTACAGCGAGGATAATGGCGATCATGGCGCCGATACCGAGTTAAAACGCTCTTTGAGCACGCGTCACTTGACGATGATAGCACTTGGTTCCAGTATTGGTATGGGCTTATGGCTTGGTAGTGGTACCTCTTTGGCCGACGGTGGTCCAGCCGGTATCTTTATTGGCTACTGTCTCGCCGGCTCTATGATCTGGTGTGTCAGTCATTCCATCGGCGAGATGGCGTGTGTGTATCCTTTACCATCCGCCTTCGTGCAGTGGACCGGTAAGTGCAAACCTCATAAACACAATTTCTATAAGCCGGCTTCAGCTGATGAGTATTACAATGAAGGAAAGTTCGTCGATCCAGCAGCTGCTTTTGCCCTCGGTTGGTCGTATTGGTTCAGTTACTGGTAGGTGACACTCAATATCTTAGGATGTCAAATTACTAACAACTAATATCCTAGCATCACGATCGCAAACGAGTTGGCATCAGCAAATACTGTCATCACGTATTGGACAACCCGCGTGCCGATTGCAGGATGGATCAGCATATGGCTGGTTATCATCATCCTGATCAATATCGGTGCCGTTACCCTCTTCGGTGAAATCGAAGTCGTCGCTAGTACGATTAAATTTGGCTGGATCTTTGTTGTTATTATCTCCATGATCGTCATGTCAGCCGGAGGAGCAGGTTACGACGCAGTGGGTTTCCGGTACTGGAACGAGATCCCATTTACGCACGGATTTAGAGGCTTCCTCTCCGTGATGCCCACTTGTATTTTTGCCATGTCTGGATCTGAGAACTCGGGCTTGGTTGCTGCCGAGACGGCCAACCCGAAGAAGTCCATACCTCGCGCTGTCGGATCTATATGGCTCCGCCTTGCGCTTTTCTACTTGGTTGGATCGCTCATGATTACTATCAATGTTGATCCTAGAAACGATCGCCTTTTCGGTTCTGCTTCCAGCGGTACTGGTTCTTCGCCATTCGTCATTGCCTATAGCGACGCAGGTATCCCTGTCCTAGCTCACATGATGAACGCGGTTATCCTCATATCGGTCGTCTCGACTGGATCTATCTCAGGTTACGGCGGTTCTCGTACGACCATGGGTTTGGCATACCTCAACATGGCGCCCAAAGTCTTTACAAAGGCCGACAGGACAGGACGCCCTTGGTGGGGTCTAGTCCCTACGTTCGTTCTTGGTGGTGGGCTTGCCTATCTCAATGTCAGTGAATCCGGCGCCGATGTCTTCAAGTGGTTTTCGAATCTCACCTCTCTCTTCACTCTATTCGGTTGGGGCATGATTTGTCTCTCACACATACGTTTTCGCCTCGCTTGGGCAAGACAGGGCCGTACAGCTGACGAACTTCCCTGGAAGTCTTGGATCTACCCCGTTGGTCCCTGGTGGGGTTTGATCATGTGCATCCTCCTGATCATAGTCCAGTTCTACCTCGCCGTTTGGCCCCTTAGAGACGAGCAGGGTGCTACAACCTTCTTTGCAAATTATATCTCGGTCATTGTCATCGTTGCACTATGGCTTGGTGCCAGAGCCTATTACCGCGGAAGGTGGTGGGTCAACCTCGACCACATCGTGCTCGATGAAGGGCGAAGGTTTTACAAAAATGACGTTGAGAAAGCGAAGCCAACCGGTGTGAAAGGATATGCGAAAAGAGCTGTTGGTGCTGTTTTTAGCTAGACAGTTGGTTATCACCATGCCTGTTATATTGAGTGTTGGGTACACATCGTAAGTTCACGAGAAGTGTATTGGAAATAGTCATTGTTATATGACTGGGTACTTCAAAGTCCTAAGTTATATGTACTAATGCATTTCTATGTGTACGAGACGCCTTGAACTAATACTAATTGCCTTAAGCCACGATAGTCGCCATTAATAATTGAGAAATGTGATGATCAAACATGCAGGATTACCACAACTCTAGTTCAGGGGGCTTCCATATTATTCGGGTTTGTCACAAGACGCTAGTTATACATCTTTCTGACGCATTACTTTTTCGCTGATGAACCCAACAAAAGCTCCAGGTGTAGGGATCCATACATTCTAATACTGGATTCCTCAGGGGGCATTGAATGAATACCTACTTACCTCCGCCCTAGGATCCTCCACGACTTTTACATAACCCTAAACCATTAACGGTATACCAAACCTAGGCTCAATATAAGTTACTCTTACTCCACACGTACGCATCCATAGTTGTGGCTGCATAGAAATCTCCAGGTGCATATAGTGTTATCAAAGTCAAATATAAAACGGCGATTTAGCCGCCACAGTCACAATGTAGATCGCTTATATCGAACTATCGGCCTCAACAACTACCCTTCTTAGTTTACCTACCTCTTGCCGGCCTTGCCCAATCAAATAATTTTTATAGACCATAGGGGAAAGTCTTAGACCCCACTCTAATCATAAAGAAAGCGCTGGGTAGTCTCTTCTACAGATGTCCGTATAGCCTTAATTAAGTCATATGCGTCAACTACGCCGAAATCCCGTTTGCCACTTCTAGCTGAACCACCGCCGATCCGGTTGATACCCTTGTCAACAACCAGACAACCGGCACACCTGACGGTATCGAATCCAATAAGGTTACTTGTCGCTCCGTTGCTAATTTGGTAATATTATTCGGCTCAGAATATTAATACTGACGAGAGAACTAGAATGGTAATAATTAGTGTACCTAATCATACGATGTTGAATTAGACGGTTTCAATGAGGCTTGGCGGGTTACTCTTTATACTCCGGACCGGTTGGATATACATAGCTTTGCCAGAGTATTAGTTCTAGTAAAGGCCTGGTCATTTCATAAAATAATACCCTACCTTTAGGTAATTATGCTTTGATATGAGTGAAATAAAACTATAGCATTTACAAGGAAACGTACGAGTACGAGCACAAGGGGCAGAAATATGCCCCTATTCATTTCGATGCTGAAGCAACTCTTGTGTTCCTTGTATAAATATGGCTGATTGAACTATAATCACCGTAAGAATCTCATATTGTTGTTGAGTGGTAACGTTGATTGATTATAGACTTACTAATTTAGGTAGGCATGCTGTGGCTTGTCTATAGTAACACCCTCATCGCTCAATCTTTTCAGGTGTAAGGTTTCACTATACGGTTTCATTCAGTACGGTAGACAACAATCGAATGTGTACCTAATTAGTCTATTGGTTTCCTTATATAACACTGGCGGTCCTGGTACAGGAAGCACGTTAATTGGCGCAATGTTAAACCGTAATAATAGCTTAGATTTAAAAACCTTAGAACTACAGCCGCTGAAAAATATGATCGCTTAAACAGTTGATTCATTATCAGTTTTAAATAATTCTTTTCCTGTGTGTGTACCTAGTTTTAGTCGACCGGGTAGGTTACTTGTAAGTAAAACTTGGGCTAGTTATTCGACATTACTTAGGAGCCCCCTTTTCAAACATGTAATTATATGAATCTCTACCAACGTGTATCTGACGATAAATATAGCAACTATTTCCAACTTGATTCAAAGTACAATGCTAAAGTAATTTAAGATAGAGAAATACATGTAGCTAATATTTATGGTCAGAAGTAACCCAGACCGAAATGTAAGTATCATTGGGATTTAAAAGTAATAGGGGTAAATTTTACTATTCATCGACTGTACTCAACTATCTTCTACCTAGGTATATAACAAACACCATTGCCATCAGATATTAACTCCAGTTATAGGTTAAGTTGTAGTTATACTCCCTACTATAAGTCAGTCCCGGATCCAACCCCTCACCAGGTCGCATTTTATGGCAAGCCCATTCTATTCCCGAAGCTGGGAAGGCCACTTGGAGACTGTTACGATGGGGGTATACACTGACATCATATCCGCAACTCTATGGAACCCGTATAAAGAATCCTCTGCATCTCGTTTGATTTACCTCGGCGATGACCACTTATGCCGCCTCCCTTAAATAACAAGATCCCTCAACATAGTAAGCTCCCGGGAATATAATCGCGGCTTACACTATACGTCGACGGCTATGGCAACCTTGACGCTAGCATCCTGGGCTGTAAATCTAACCTACGCTAACCTTACCGCACCCGTGGTCGACGCAGCTGTCAAGAGTATCTATAACTGGGCCGGCTGTGCCATCGGCGGTTTCGCGCAAGCCGCGCCACAAATCGCGCTCAACACATCATTATCCGCAGGTTTTGGCGGGCCGCCGACGTCCAGTATCCTCGGCCTGAACGGCTCACTTGGCGGAAACGGGGTGGGGTTTGGAATAGAACCGGGGTTTGCGGATGCGCATATCGCCGCGTTTGTCAATGGCATCGCGTCGCACGTTGATGATTATGACGACACGCACCTCGCGAGTATAATACATCCTACCGGGGTGGTAGCTAGTGCGCTCTTCGCCGTGGCTGAAGCCGAGTCTCGATCTCAGGGAGGCGGAAATCGTGCGGCGGGAATGGTGTCTGGTACGGATTTCTTAACCGCTTTTGTGGCCGGCGTCGAGGCCGAGCTTAAGCTTGGATTATCAGTCTATCCGGAACACTACGATGTGGGATGGCACAGCACAAGCACGACGGGTTCTGTAGGCGCGGCCGTCGCTGTGGGCAAGTTATTAGAGCTAGATACCGAGCACCTTCAGCACGCGATAGGAATCGCCTCTACACAAGTCATCGGGATGCAAGCGTTCTTCGGCTCAATGACCAAGTCGTTCCACATCGGGCGCGCGACGCAAGGAGGCATGTTAGCCGCGCTCCTAGCCCAGAAAGGATACACAAGTTCACTCACAGCCCTGGAAGATAAATACGGCTGGTTACATGTAGTCAGCACGCGCGAGAACGCATCGGCCAACTTCGCGCAGCTGGGGAAGGGGACTTGGGAGATCGAGAGGAACACGTTCAAGCCATTTCCATGTGGCATCGTTATGCATCCTACCATCGACGGGTGCATCCAGCTCCATAACCAGGTGCTAGACGAGGGAAAGTCGATCAAATCGATTAAGAGCATTGACCTACGCGTAAATCCGGAAGTACTGGTACTCACAGGCCAGACCGACCCGCAGACAGGGCTCGAAGGCAAGTTCAGCATATACCACGCCGCTGCTGTTGCATTGCTATACGGCCAAGCAACTCCCACGCAGTTTACAGACCAAGTCGTACAGAACGAGACAGTGATAAGCACGCGGAAGTTAGTAAAAGTCACTACGGACAATAGTATAGGCGAAGACCAAGCGTGCACTTCCATAACCTTCAGCGACAATAGTACCAGTGAAAACTACATCGAGTATGCGATCGGCAGTTTGGAGAATCCTCTGACTGTGGAGGATTTAAAGACGAAGTTCATCGACCAAGCCTCGCGCCAAATCGGAAGTGCAAGGGCGGAGAGAGCATATAACGCTTTCACAGGTATTCGCAATATAACCGATGTAGGGAAGCTAAGGTCACTATTCTAGAAGTTGGCTATAATAGTTATAATCGTTACTGAACATAGTATCTTTGTACGTCTAGTAAATGAATGATAAACTGCTTTAATGCCTTGGAATAAAAGACGTCATAGTAACAGGTAATTAATCACTATAAGAGTACCAACCACGATTATTATCATTTAAATTATACATTAGGTACTTCTGATTATTACTAGAGTAAATAAGCATACACCATAACGTAAGTAATAGAATCAACATGACAAACTATTCCATTTCAAAGTAACCGAATGCTAGACATCCTTGCCATCTGTTTCCATATGTATTAACGCGCCGTTTATGCTACAATGCTATCTCATTATTAAGAAGTCCTATAATACACGTACTGATTATGACCGGGAATCCGATGCGCCAACGTACTCAGTAACCTCATTAAAGGCAGAAGGCCTCCATTTGGAAGGATCTTTTGCGGAACCGATACGTACTATTGTGATCGTAGGACCAGGAGTGTTGTCTCCAGGATACGGCTCGCTCTGATCAGCCCAGACAAGAGAATCCAATCTGCGAAACATTCGAAATCGCTCTGCGCGAATTTTCTCGGCTTCAACTGGTTTCTTTATATGTAATAAGAAAGTCTCAAGTTGGAAGAGAGATTCAAGAATGCAATCGCGGGAGCCAGCAAGCCTTGCTGCAAACACCGAGTTTCTATAAAAGTTTTCGGCCTGTCGGAAGTCCCTTTTAATGCACTTGATATACCCAAGCCAGACACAACGAAAGGATTCATCCCTAGCCGCCAGGGAATCAGGGCTTAGGCAAGATAAAGCTTCTTCGGCTTTGTCTAGGAATCCTTGATTCAAATTCAATTTGCAAGTCGCTAATGCGTGCTCCAATTTAAGCAAACCGAGTAAGGACCGGTCAGCAAAGTTGTCGCGGATCTTAGACAAGTGGTATTGGAGACTTTGTAATTGAACTCTAGGATCCTTCTCCCTTTCTACGGCGTCGAAATATTTAAGATATGTCTCGATAGTTAAGGGATGAGTCGATCCTAGCCGCGTACCATACTCTGATACACAAAGTGCTAAGACACGCTCCGTAGCATCCCGCTGTTCGATGTAAGGGATTGATACGAAACTTTTCCAGAACCTCGCAAGCGGACTATTCTGACCATAAATTTCCATGCTAAGGTCCTGACAAACTTGAAGTAGTAAACCGCGTACCTCTCCGCGTCCAATTCGAGTTAAATGAGCAGCAGTCGATAGTATTCTGGGTATGAGAATTGGCGGAGGATTCCTAAACACTCTCGCCAGCATTGAAAGGGGGGCATCGAGGGCTTTCCTAACTGCGCCCGGCTGTGCTTGACGAGACACTGATAGGCCTGCGGTTACGCATCTATCAAGTAATGAACTTAAAAGTCCTGAAGGTCCACATCGGCCATGAGTATTCCAACAATGGGTATCTGACCAAGACCAGAGGCCCGTCTCAAAAGATTTGTCCAAGTAAATATGCAGCGCCTGAAACATGTCCTCGGGAAACGAGGGAACTGGGCTACGCCGCCCTGCTGGGGTTGAACATTTGGGCCGTGGCGAAAGACGTTTATGAGACGAGCCTGAAGGAGGGGTTCGACAAGTCACGTCTCGAATTGCTTCCGGGTTAGGCGTTGCTCCGGCCCTGAGCTTCGCGAAGACGGAAGGGTTTCGAGACAGATACAGCTGGAGGCTACCATGATCTACCTCTCGGCTCCTGATATAAAATACGGATGGCCTGTGTGTTTTATCGCGATGCTTCTTTAGATAGAGTATCTGAAGGACCTCATCAAATCGGAGGTTTTTGAATGCACCCCATGCTGCAAGTTTCTTCTTATACATGGGAACACTGTCCAATGTTAGCTAAATCGTCTAGTCCCATATAGCAAGTCCATACGTAGAGTAAAATTCATGATGCTCTTCCATATACGACTTGACCTCCTCGAGGGTCTTATCTTGGTCAAGGTATAATTTCGTGATAACATCCTGTAATCGAGCCCAATCTTGAGTCGTAGTATGGTGCGAGTCTGGTGTGTCCATCTTTCATGATGACTAGGTCCGAATCAAAATGTTCGAATCCTGAGGCCTCCGACAAAAATCTATCCATAGTTTTCCCGCTGATTTATACTACGCATTCAAACCCAAGGCGAGGCTTAGAGCAGTTAGAAACTCGAGGACACCAACAACATACGGTACGAGTACATTCGTAAGGCGGGATCGAATTACATCCCGCCTCGATGCTGATTGGTTAGGCGAACAGGGGTTTAGCCAATGATGGTAAAAGTTACCTGCAAGAGCCTCTGTAGAGGAACCATATGGGCTGAAAGAAGGTCGGTGGGACCTCGAAGGCAGCTGAAAAAAGAGCCGGGGTTCGGATAGCTAATATCTCCATTGGGTGCTTGAATGCTTCGGAAATCTGAAGCACACCTCTATTCCTAGGAACCACGATCCATTTCTGACAACTGGCACACTGGCTGAATGTTCATCAACCCGAGTTCGGCAATGAAGGAGCCGTTAAAGAAGTATCATGTGCCTTCACGAACTCGTTGCCGCCCGCTGCTTTTTGATAGTAAGCGACGATCATGTCGCTGGCCCAACAGAATACGGTAGGTATATGGCAGCATCGTGCGAGCTAAGACACCCATAAACAGTCCGGTAGAGAGATCTAGGTAGTCTAGACTAGACTCCGTATATGTGATGTGATAAGAGAGAGCGTAAGAAGAAGTGGGGCTGAAGTCTTGGAGGTTTTGGAGGTTTGAGGCAAGTTGCCACTACATATGTATTTCGTACCTCCTAGTGGGGTTACTGGGGGTTATGTAATATGATGGCTTTACGAAGTACTTCACTTTAATCCTTAGCGTCAGATGGGGGGTAGTAGTAGCCGTATATATACAGTATATATACGGCTCCCAGGTATGAGCCGCTCCCAGATGTTAGGGAAAAACGTGGAGCTCACCAAATTCATACGCATCAGCGCTAAGAGCTAATCAATAATTTTTGAGTGGTACAACCGGTGCGCCGCTCTTGCACTGTGAGCCACTCGACCAATGAGCGGCCGTTGCGCCGCTCGCATCTCTGCGCCGCTCCCGTTTTGAGCCGCTCCCACCAGGGAGTGGTATGTGCGCCTCTCCCAATTGTGAGCCGCTCCGGGTAAGTGCATACCTATATATGTAAAAAGTAAAAGGTATATTCCCATACGTTTTTGTATGGGAATCTACTTATATGCATTGCAATGAAGTTGAGATTACGTGCTACGGGTTACAGGTTACAGGTTACAGTAATTGATTTAGGTTCAAATGATTTAATTGGAAGGTTACGTGTTTTTCAAATAGACTACGGGGCATATGTTACATATTACGGGCACGCGTGTGGACTTGTAATTATGGGGTATAACCTGATCTGTGCGCCCGGGGTTATGTAATAATACCCTGTACGTACCGCTCAATACGGGGAGCCGCTCAAATCGGGAGCGGCGCAAAAAGTGTGAGAGGCGCAAGAGCCGCTCATTGGCTAGAGCCGCGCTAGTACGGCTCATCTTGGCCTAGCGCCCCGAATATTTGGAGCGTTTAAACCGTAAGCGGTAATATTACCATTTAAATATTTGAGTCACTTAACTCTTTAAACGTAAGAATCGGGAGCCGCTTATTGCATTGAGTGGGATAAGTACGGCTACGATTTAATGAGCGGTATATATGCGGCTACTGCTACCCCCTATATTACGGTAAGGATGCGACTTGATTGGTTCTCTTTAATTGACAGTCGCGCTCCACCCATTAAGACGCGTTTTCCTTAGTAAAAGTCGCGTCGCCCAAAATTCCATAATGTGACAAAAAGTCTCCATGTAAACCTTCGTGGTCTAGGATTGGATACCCCATAACATATGATATTTAGGATTCATAACCTATTAAGATGTTAAGGCAAGATATCAATCGCATAGACCCCAAAAGACGAAATGTCGTCGATCACCGCAAGAAGCAATTCGCCGAACCTACCTATAAGGAAACTCAGTATCCTCATCGTCTAAATTTTTACGAGATACCTCCTACAGCAGACATTACCTTGGAGCAATTTGAGCAATGGGCTATCGATAGGCTTCGGGGTATGAATCAAGTCTGTATTTTTTTTGTAAATTTGCATCTCAAACTAACAACGGTATCATCATAGTCCTCGCCGAACTGGAAGCATGCTCATTCCGTAACAAATCCCCTGCCGAGACCGCCGCACATATGAAGCCGCTACTCGAGAAATACCTTCCACTCGATTCTAATTCGTCCTCCTCGTCCAAGCTTTCGGCTGAGAGGCAAAAAGACCATTACAGCCATTTCATTCTCCGACTTGCATTCGCATCAACCGAGGACCTACGCCGAAGATTCAGTCGTGTCGAGACAACGCTCTTCCGTCTACGATTGGCCGAGGATAGTGCGCGCGAGCGAAATGCCTTCATCCAGAGTTTGAACTTGGATTGGGAACCTGTAGCCGAAGACGAGAGGAATAAGTACTTTGCCGAATTGACGGCGACCGCCGGCTCCAGAAAAGGGGACGAAGAGACAGCTTGGTATAAAGTCGATTGGGAGCGTGTACCCGATTTAGTTGAAGCTAGAAGGGTATTCTTAAAGGCCGGCAAAGCCTACGTTCCTTCAAAAGAGCTACCAAGTATGGTCACTGCTGAGTTTACGAAGAGACTGGACCGAGCGCTCGAGGTAGGTCTTCTCTCAGACGAGATGTGTTAGGTACCTAGGTAGGCAGGTTAACCTAACTTGTTACAGCTTACGGCGCGTGCACTGCCACGACTTGATGAAGATGATCGACTTACACCGATCCTCGATCACCTCTCCAAGAATTTCGTCACCCCTGACGCAGCTTATATGAGCACCAGTTCTGCCGTCCCCGGCTCCGAAATCACAGCGCGGAATATCGATAATCTATCCTCACACTTCCCTCTATGTATGCAGAATCTTCACCGATCGCTGCGCCGGGATGCACATTTGAAACATTATGGCCGTCTACAATACACGCTTTTCTTAAAGGGTATCGGCCTAAACTTGGAAGAATGTCTAATTTTCTGGCGTACTGCCTTTCACAAGTTCACGGACGATACTTTCAATAAGGATTACAGATACAACGTAAGACACGCATATGGCGACGTCGGTGGAGATTCAAATAGGCGTGGGGGCGGCTACTCTCCGTTCTCGTGTCAGAAGATTTTAACGGAGCATCCACCTGGTCCCGGTGAAGCCCACGGGTGTCCATATCGACATTTCAACCTAGAGAATCTAACTGCCCTACTCCAACAAGTAGGCATCTCCGACCGGTCAGTCTTACAAGGAGTCAAGGAAGATAAAGAAAATCAGAAATTCCACATGGCTTGTAATCGGTAAGTCTCCGCCCAATTCTGTGATATTATGAAGCATTGGACCCAGATTAATTGATTGGGTGTAGTGTGTTTGAATACGTGCATAAGAATGAACTCAAGAAAGCTAAAGATGAGGGCATTATGACTGTTGCCCAGCTCGAGACGATCGTCCACCCAAACAAGTATTTCGAGAGGAGTTACTTGTTAAAGAATCTGGGAAAGTCCGCTAATGGGGACGACGTCAAAATGGAGGGATTTTAGTTGACGTGTATATCTCGAATTGTGCCAGTATTATACGATTTGATTGGGATGGAACATATGCATTATTCATGAATTTCCCTCAGGGCCACGTTCGGCGTGCAGGAAACTTGGATGGGGCGTTGTGGTGTTTTTTTGATACTATAGTAGGGCACAATTCGACAATGTTTCACTACGTCCGTTGCATAGCAGAAAGCCACGGCTAGTATACATATGCATGTCAATGAATGAAGACAACAGTCTATGCAGTGACGATTTCCTGACGAGATTCAAGACATCTCCAGGTCACACGACAGCTAATAAACGCCAATTCAACTTGTACGACAGCTAGACCTCGAGGCTTGTCGATATTAGACACACAACCGAGTATACCGCCCAACAAAAGCATATATAGCATGCATATTGCGGCGGCTATGAAGTAGCAGACCCTTAATTTATGTCTAGGATCTAGGGTTGATATTGGGTACCTATTCCCCGGTTGTAGATCTAGAACAAGGAACTATACTACCGGAGAACAGGATGTGTCAATTCGGGTATGCAAAGGATCGCCAGGTACGCCTTCCGATAAGCCAGTCGAAGGTTAAATCGTGCCAGCTCACGCAGGTGTTGGTATGGTGGACTACGAGGTGATATAATAATGTCATGATTGAATGCAGGTCGGAGAATGATTTCACAAAATACCTCAGGTATGTATAAAATCAGGCTGACTGCTGCATGCACGTTCCCGGGTGCATCTCCTCCCTGCAGTCATCAATACACGAACCTCCCTATAGACCGGGTGGTGGATATAGAACGGGGACTGTAGACACCCGTGTGTGTCCGGGAAGAAAGACACGGCGTTACGGAGCTTACTCTCCTACATTCTACATATAGACTGAGCCGAAACCCGAGGGTGGTGGAACGATCCCCCGGCATAGCCCATCCGCAATATGTATGTAGAAGACTATTAACTACCCAAAGTGGCTTATTCGAGGATTACAGACCGGTTAGGATTAACGCATCCTTCGCTATGCCACATACATAAGTTATATACGCTTATTAAATAAACAGCGGTCTAAGCGTCTACGTACGCCGTACGTGTACAGAAACCACATCACGCGCGATCCCTACGCGGCCTAGTAAAAGGATATATTAAATATTATGTATAATGACTCAGTTATCTGCGCACGGCCTCAACGGGCACGCAGTCAGCTCAGAGACGGGCAATGGGGAAGCCGAGGAAATCCCCTATTCGGAAAATGCCAACCCGGACGGTATCCCATGATACATAGCAGCGGAAGACTCGGCACCAAGGCTTAGCGGCCAAGTCTAACCTGCGGTGAAGCCAACAAAGGCTGAGCGCTCCACAGAAATGCTCTCCGAAGTCGCGAGGGTCCTAAACCTTTGTGTGGGCATGACTCTACTGTATCCTCGGTGAGGCTGACTCAACATGATAACCCTAGGAAAGCAATTTTGGCTTTGTCTCGGGGAGCTGAGCGAGTCCTATATTTTTGCTATCGGACAATTTACGGAAAAGTACTTACAGAAACGGGTACCGACATTTAGGGCAATTATGCGCGAGAAGAAATTGAGGGGGAGCTAAGCTTGCTGGCTTGTCCCTGTGTCCTTGTGCTCGAGTCGCGGATTTCCACAAAGATCGACAGGGGACCAAAAAGCTTATGGTGATTCATGGTACGGTCCATATTTGCGTGGGATTAGCAGGACCATATTTTTACTTTCGAGAAGAAAATACCCCCTAAGATCGATCCCGTGCACACAAGAATCGCGCGTGGACAATGAAGAAGAGCGGGGGAGAGGACAGGATTTATGCACAAGAATCCGATTTCGAAGCAATGGGAAAATTCTCGACATGGATGGGCTTTTCGATCTCGATCAGTGGGTAGCTGAAACTTGTTGTCTAGTCAACATTTGTGATCTATCGTATTCTATCCTTGGCAAAGGGGGACATCTGCCATATGGGAACCAACAGGTTGCCAATAGTTCGCAACGATAGTCCTGGCCGAATAAGGGATAAGCTTAGAATGAGGAGCACGAGCTCACGTCTAGGTAGCCTCACAACAATGCAGTGGTACATATATAGTAGTAGTGCTCCGGAGAATTTCGTGTGGTCTCAATGGTAC